AGGGGGACAGCTTGAGGCTCTGTCTCAAAAAAAAAAAAAAAAAAAAAAGAAGTTGAGAGCTGGGAGTGACAAGGGGGCTCTGTAACTTCAAGGATTCTTAGCATAGTGTCTATAGACATGAGTCCACAAAGCTTCAGAAATTGTAGGCAAACTTTCTTTCCCAGGCAGAGAGTTCATACCTTTCATTGCCTTTTTATAATATCATTGACCTCAGAAAATGCCCAGGACTAGTGATGTGCAGCTAGTCACCTGTGTCTCAGCCTCTGACTCTCAGCTGCCTTTCTTGTCTAAAATTGAAAAGATAAAGTGTCAGCGGGGCAGGGTGGCTCACTTCTGTAAACCTAGCACTCTGGGAGATCAAGGCAGGTGGATTACTTGAACTCAGGAGTTCCAGACTAGCCTGAGCAAGAGTGAGGCCCTGTCTCTACTAAAAATAGAAAAACTCAGGCAAGACAATCTCTTAAGCCCAGGAGTTTGAAGTTGCTATGAGCTATGATGATGCCATGGCACTCTACCCAGGGTGACAGAGGAAGACTGTCCTGAAAAGGAAAGATAATGTGTTTTAAGATAGATCTGTAATTGTTCTTCCTGTATTATCAATTGATGTTGGTCTGAAGGATATCCACATTTCTAGGCTGAAATGGACTTCTAGCAGTCACAGCAGCACAAGGCTCGTTGATAATGCCACAGTCTCCCCAGGCTGAAATCATGATTCTTTGATGCCTCTAATCTCATGCCCTCCCCTAGGAGCTCGAGGCCATGAGCAGATATACCAGCCCAGTGAACCCAGCTGTCTTCCCTCATCTGACTGTGGTACTTTTGGCCATTGGCATGTTCTTCACCGCCTGGTTCTTCGTGTATCCTTTCACTGAGCAGCCAGTGGTCTGGTATTAGTGAGATTGGAAGATGAGGGAGAAACCATGCCAGGTACATGCACTCTGCCAGTTGTGTACACTGGATTGGGGGTGAGAGAAGGTAAGGAGGGAAAAGCTAGTGATGCCCAAGGTCAGGATGTGGTCTTATTTCCCAAGTTTAGGAGAGTTCAGTTTGTTGTTGGAGGAGGGAGATTGGGGAGCTGAAGTTGGGAAAGTGGTATAAGGAAGGATGAGCTCAGGTGTCAAGAGGTCTGAGGGCTAGTCCTAGCTCCGCCACTGCCAAGCTGCAGGACCTGCAGCAAGTGACCTAACTCCCCTGGGTCTCATTTTCTTCCTGGGAGCTGGAGGGGTAGTATGGAACACCATAATCCTAATCGTCTCTTGGGCCCCTCTGCCTGGATGTACTGAGCCAGAAAGCATTCAGCCCATGCTTTTCACCTCAGATGGCTACTGGCCTGGCTCCCTGCATTCTGCTGTCCATCCCTTTGCTTTGCCTTAACAGCTCTACTCAGCTATGAGGTCACTTCTACCAAGTACACTCGAGATATCTACAAAGAGCTTCTCATCTCCTTGGTGGCCTCACTCTTTATGGGCTTTGGAGTCCTCTTCTTGCTGCTCTGGGTCGGCATCTACGTGTGAGCTCCTGAGGGTAAGAGCTGTGGCAAGATAGCAGCCTAGAGAAGTTTCCCCATGCCCACATCAATAGGGTCCAAAGGGTCTTATCTATATGACTTCTTGGTTAATGAAGACTGACTCAGTGGAATGGATGGTCACACTAGCCATAGCCACTGACAGAGATTTGAGCCAAGTGTGGTCTCCTTTGTCAGTTCCTAGTTCACATGACCCAAAGCCTCACTCTGGCTTTGGGATGGATTACATAGGGATATGGGTATAGGTTATACACTTGCATTCTTTTTTTTTTTTTTTTTTTTTTTTTGAGACAGTGTTATGTTGCCCTCGGTAGAGTGCCTTGGCATCAGCGCTCACAGCAACCTCAAACTCTTGGGCTTAAGAGCAATTCTCTAGCCTCACCCTCCCAAGTAGTCGGGACTATAGGCGCTAGCCACAAGGTCTGGCTATTTTTGTTGTTGTTGTTGCACTTGTCATTGTTGTTTAGCTGTCCCAGGCCGGGTTCGAACCCGCCAGCCTGGGTGTATATGGCCGGTGCCCTACCTACTGAGCTACAGGCACCACTGTATACTTGCATTCTTAAAGATTATGCGCCAACGACTTGGATAGGCTGCTGGGAAGTAGGCTGGCTAGAAGAGAAGCAAGAGCTGGGACTAAAACTTGCTGCAGATAATCACCCAAACAGGTTGCTGAGAGTCTGCTCTGGTGACTCATCCTCAAAAGAGTGTACTCATCAGCCCTTGCCCTGGGAGCACAGGGGTTAAGGGAGAGAGGTGGGAAAGAGGGTCAGTGGTCTCATTTTGATGCCCCTCTCCTCTTTCAGGTACCACTCAGGCGGCTTCACTGAATCTCTGCTTTTGTAAATTAATTTTTTTTTTTTTTTTTTTTACTTTGCGGGACGTGTCCTCTCTCTGGCTCACAAGAAAGGCAGATGTGTGACAGTCTTGTCTGGTGCCCATTGCGTGGGTATCTACATGGGATCTACATGGTTTTCCCAGCGTCACCCTTTCCTGTTTCTCTGTTTCTCTTCTGCCTGCCTTTCCCAGCTGCTGGGAAACCTGCTTTCTGCCTCTAGCAGATGAGGGCTGTGTGACAGGGATATCTTGTCACTGGAATTTAAGGCTCACCTGTGTATAGGAAGGGTCTAGGCCAGGCATCCTCAAACTACAGCCTGCAGGCCACATGCAGCCCGCCTAGGACATTTATCCGGCCCACCGGGTGTTTTTGCCGCCGCTGCCTGTCCTGCTTAGCAGCCAACTTGTCCCGGGGCCTGCAGTCCAGCCCTCCAACGGTTTGAAGGACAGTGAACTGGCCCCCTGTTTAAAAAGTTTGAGGATCCCTGAAGGCCTACCCGCTTCTGTTGTTTCTAGAACAAACCTCTAGGAGCAACACCAATTTATTCTGCCCTGGACCTATCCCCCCCACCAAACAGAGCCATCTTTCTCTGGGCTGGGGCACCCTCACCAGGCTCAGCTTGTCCCCTGAGAAGGTTTTTCTGCTAGGTAGCTTCTTTTCATTCAGGTGGGCAATGGCAGGTACATGGGCAGGGGGAAGTGTGTCTAGGGGAGGGGCTGCTGGGTCCATTTCCAGCCCTACTATAAAAACTAAGAAAGATAAGGGGTACAAAGTATCAATCTGGCTTGTGGCCCTGGAAATTCTGGACTTCTCAAGAAGACATCTGATTTCCAACTGATCCCAGCCTTACAGGTAACTCCCTCTCCTACCAGACCAATTCCAATAAGAGACAGGGAGGCAAGCTCAGATACAAAGCAGTATTTATACATTTATTTATATATGTATATTTACTTCAGAAGAAAAACAGTTGGGGGAGGACAGGAAGCAAGCAGGCTCAGGGCTGCCTCCCTCTGCCCACCACAGAGTCAGAGTTGGTACATGATATAAATATGAGTCAGCGCTCAGGGAAGGGAACTGGGAGTTAACTGGGAGAGGTGCTCTATGCACATGCAGGCTTCTAAGGGGGAATGGAGGGGGCAGGGAGATTTGCAGGGGGAGGCCCTATGTACAGCTTGAAGCTACAGGAGATCAGCCCAGAGGAAAGGGGAGGAGGAAGGAGAGGGGTGGCCTGCTGGGCCCCATGTTGGGGCTGGAGGTGAGACCCCCACATCCCAGTACCAGCATGGCAGCGGGCAGCCTCCAATAGGCAGCCCCCTCACCTTCCCCCAGGCTCCTTTACCATGGGCTTATTAAGGCAACTTTGGTCCAAGGTTGACCCCCTCAAGCAGCTTGGAGCCCCAGCCTGGCCCCAACCCCTGCACTGAGGATCCCTCCCCAGGCATGGAAACAGCCAGCTGCTAATGGGGCTGGGACTATGGTGCATCACTTGGACTCCAAAAGGGCAGAGGAGGGTCACTTTCCAGTTAAGGACTGAAGGGCTGGGTCCAAGAACATGTATCCCCAGGGAAGAAGCCACAGAATCCTATTGTGAGGGGCAGAATCGAAGTTTAAGGCATTGCTGAGAAGATTCCCCTGGGGCAGGAGGAAGCCAGTGTAGTCCTAAGTAGGCCCCCTACAGGGCCTGGGGACTCAAAATTCCTATGACAGAGTGAGGGAGTGCAACCCAGTGGGGCAGGAGGCTGCACGCAGGGTATCCCTGTGTCCTCTGGTTCTTCCTCTTTTGAAGATAAGTGCTCTGAAATCAATGGCAGAAGGGAGTCCAGCAGTAGGCTTCAAGGAATTCAGCCCCTCCCCACAAGGGCCTCCCATTCAAAGCTGAGAATGAGAGGGAGGAGGGAGCCGAGGCTTGGCACCTGAAGAGCTGGCAGAGTGCCACAAGGCATGGACGGTAATTCCCTTTCCTATTTCTGGGCCTGTGGCAGATATGGCTAAACAACAACCACATTCCTTCCATGAGCCTGGGCATGGCCTCAGAATGCTCCAGGCACCCCTATTAAATGTTGGGGTTGGCACTTGAGATAAAACTTCTTCCCTAACCCAAGCCTACTACTGTTCCTGGGAGGGATGGACAGATGAGGCCTACTGCCGAGCATGGATCCCGCCAGCTTGACTCCAGCAAGGGAGCCTTTGATTTGTGGAGATGAAGCCACCAGCAGACAAGAATGGAGGGAGAGGCCAGAGTTTTGGTGCTCAGGAGTGGGAGGGTGTCTCTGAGGCTCCCTAGGAGCAAGGACTGCTCTGGCCTGCTGTGGGCTTTGTAGCCCTGTCCTTCCACCCTTCCCTGCCCTGGTCTAAGTGCATTTAGTAATTACTTCATTAATAATAGCAAAAACTATTGGCGTCTCTCTGCCAGCCAAGACCAGCCTGCTTGCAGGGTTCCAGCTCCTCTGTTCAGCAAGAACGATGTGGTCACCAACACCACTGTGAAGATCTGGACACTCCCAGGAACATAGGCAGTGGGCCAGCAACACTGTCTAGGGGCTCATAGGGAACTTTCCCTTCTGGGATGCTCCACATTTTGGGGTCTAAGGCTTACCTAGCTACTAGTTCAGTCCTGTGAAGGGCTGAGAGTGGCTTCACCAGGCACTAAGTGGACTTAAGGCACAAAGTCAGTCTCTGACCCATCCAGGGCTGCCCTTGGTTACCCTGGGCATTTGGGGGAGCCAACTGCCTGGACCACACTTAAAGCTTAAAATTCCAAATCCAGGTAACAGTCAAACCCCAAAAGGTCCACTACCACACTATCCCCCATGAAGCTTTGAGGGGGAAAGCTGTCTGTCCGCCATTGACTCACAGGGGTCCAGCCAAGTCTTTTAGGGCTGGATCCAGGCCCTCAGCTGACCACAAAGGCAGGTAGATCCTTGTAGTTCCCTGTGTCAAAAGGGAGGCAGAGGAGAGTAGGCTCTGGACAGATAAGGGTCACAGCTCCCCGTTGCCTCCAGGGCACCTGAAGCCAGCTTTCTAACCACCATATCTGGACAGATGTGAACTGTCCCAGAGGAGGTGGCAGGCAGGATGTCCCAGAAAGTTTGTCTCTCCACCTGCCTCTGCTATGTGAGGGGCGACCAGCTGGAACAGCAACTCCAGTGTGAAGACTTCCAGTTTCCCCAGTTTGGGGTGGGCCAGTGTATAGGAGAGCTGGCTGGCAGCAGGCTCCAGTGTAATGCCATTGCATCCAGTGTCAGAGGGGCATGTGAGGACCCCTGGGCCCTGGTGTGGTGCCACCTCAGGAGGGCAGCTCAGTCGCACAGGCGGTAGAAGCGGAAGTAGTAGTCTGTGGCTGGCCGGGCAAGGGCCTCTGTGCTGCAGTTGGCCTGGCCCTGGAGGGAAGAGCAGTGGGAATGGGTGAGGCAGCTCTAGGAGTACAGGGCAGGTGACACTTCCCTGCTGATGTTGTTTGACGCTGTGCTCTGCAAACCCCCATTCATCCCCAAGCCCCACACTACAGATAGAAGAGCCTGGACCTCTGGGGGAGGTGGGGTACCCATGCTCACCAGCAGTGCCACCCGGAAGTGGTAGGTGAATTCACCAAAGGACAGGATGGTCACTGGCCACTGGTGAGAGATGCCCTGGATAGAGAAGGGAAAGGTGTCAGAGGCCTTCTGCCCCAACTAGCATCCCCTTACCATGGCCACTGTCCCCTCACCCACTGTGCTCCTAGCACATCCAAGTATCATTAATCCCACCCTCACTATAATCCAGAGAAGCTTGTGCTACTCCTAGCCCCATCACCTAGATGAGTAAACTGAGTCACTTGCCAACAAACCACACAGTGTGGCCAAGCTAGGATTCACACCGACTTCTGTCTGGCTCTCTCTTTCACAGAGGAGTGCAAGGCTGGAAGCAGCATGCCCATCTACCTGAGGCTTTGGCTTTGCCTCTCTGTCTATGGGCTCAGGTCAGGCCTGGGCACCATGACTAATATATGTGTCCAGCTGTGCTCTCCTGCTGCCTACATGCCTCTGCCTCTCTGGAACACTCACAGACCTGCCTCTTGCATGTCTTTTCTCCCTCACTAGCGAGTGTGTTCTTGGAGGTCAAACCTGTTTCTATTCCACCTCTGTCTCCCCAGCAGCTGGGCCCAGCACAGACCTGGGACAAAGAGGTCCCAGTAATTATTTTCTGAGCAAACACATGGAGTGAGAAGAGGTATCACTACTTCCGTTGTCCTAGGAGTCTTCTCCCTTGGCCTTTCAAGCCCAAAGAGAAACTAGTGGTCGATCAACACCAGAGAGTTGTTAACATTTGGTTGTGTGGCCAGGGAAGAGGCTGGACAGTGACAGAGTCTAGCCATCCAGTTCTTCCAGACCAAGAGGTAGCCCCCACAGAGAGACTGAGGGGTCTTCTGATATTGTAGGGTGAACTATACCATATCCCAGTGAGGTCAGGGCCCCCTCTTTCCTCTATAAGCTCATTCAACTCTCCTCTGTGCCTCTCAGCCCTCCCTGCTGTAAGCTCCCAAGATTCCTACTGTTCCTATCACCACGCTTATCCTGCTTAGTCCTTCAAGGCTGTTTCCTTCCCCCAGGACTCTATTATGGCCCAGGTGGGAGATGCTTGGCAGCGAGTGGAATGGACACGTGCAGGCTTGCCCCCTCCCTGGGGCGCAGAGGTCCAGCCCTAGTGTGTCCCTTGTGGAAATACTTTCTCTCTGACTCCTGGCTCCCTTTCCTCACCACTTGAGGGCCCGGTTATGCCAGGGGAGAGGAAGCTCAGGCCTGGCCAGCCTGCAGCTTCCCAGTCCCACCCACCTGAGTGTCCTGATGGGTGTACAGATGCTGCGGAAAGGTCCCCTCCTCACACGGTTCCCCCTTTGACATGAAGCTGCACAGCACCACGGACACAGGGGAGGAGGAGCTGGGGACAAGGCCAATTAGTAGGGAAATGGGGTTTGGGAGCCCTCAACCCCACCTCTGAAACAAGCTACTGAATCCTTGCACAGCCCAAAAACAATAACAACCAAACCTTTCCCATCCACCATCCCATATAATCCTCCCACCCCATGAGAGGCAGGGTCACTTAACCAGTAAACCACAAAGGTAATGAAGTTAGTGTCCCTCCTCAGCTCCCTCTCCCAAGTTGTCTGGGTCCACCATATAGCAAACATACAAGGCCCTTAGGCTGGCCTTAGACCTGGCCAGCCTGAGGCTCTGTAGCAGCTTCTGCCTGGCTCCCCTCCTGTGCCCCCACACCCCCATACGAGTACTCACTTCATCTGCAGGGTCAGGCTGAGGTGTAGTGGGGTACTGCTGCTAACAGGGATGTGGTAGGTGAAGTTTCCAGGCCTGAAAGGGCAAAGCTGATGCCTAAAACCATTCTACCAAAGCCTCCCCCATTGCCTCCCTAGCCCCCAGTCTGGCCTGGAGCCCCTCAGAGGCCGGGAAAGGGTCCCTGTGGGAAAGGGTCCTCCTTGAGTGGGGCAAGATTTGGGCATCCATACTGCCTAGGCTCATGTCATCTGAGGGGATCTCCCTGGGGTAAAGGGGAAGAGCCCAGCCCACCTGCAGGCATCCCCAGGAGCACAGTACTGGGAGGTGATGGGCATTGAATTCTCCAGCACCTGGATGGAGGTCAGGGAGGGTACTGGGTCTGCAAGGAGAAAGGCTTTTGGGAAGGAAGGAAGGTGACAAGAGAGAACACAAATGAGAAGCAGCCAAGTCTTTCTTTGCCAGACTTGGATTAGGCACTCATAACCTTAGTATGAATAAGTTTCAGGGGGGTTTTTTGTTTGTTTGTTTTTTTGCTTTTGAAACAATAGTCTCACTTTGTCACCCTAGGTAGAGTGCTATGGCGTCAGAGCTCACAGCAATCTCAAAGTCTTGGTCTTAAGCGATTCTCTTGCCTCAGCCTCCCAAGTAGCTGGGACTACAGGCGCCTGCCACAATGCCCAGCTAT